GCAGTATAATCATGCTACATGAATGAATTAACAGTGCTTCACAAAAGAGTATTCTAATATGTAGAAGAACATGTTCCCTGAAATCCAAGACAGATTTATCTTATTAAATACAGTGTGTTAGATACAACATTGTTACACTATATGTTAACTCAGACTTGTTGCTATTAGAGATAATCAGCTGTTCAAGTTTCTAGGAAATGGGTACATAGAGTCAAAAGCAGATTGCACTGTGCCTCTGTCACCTGACTGGTTCAGAATAAGTTGTGGGGTACAGGTAAACCTCAACATACAATAATTCGTTTAGTGGCCAAAGTCAGCACTGAAAAAGTGACTTAGACCATTTTTCACACAACTGTTGCGGCATCCACGTGGTCACATGACCAACATTCAGATGCTTGGCAACTGAGTCATAGTTAGGATGTTGCAGTGTCCTAGGGTTGTGTGATCATCTTTGTAACCTGACAAGCAAAGTCAAAGGGGAAGCCACATTCACTTAACAACCAAGATTAATTTAACAACTGCAATGATTCACTTAACAACTGTGGCAAGAAAAATCATAAAATGGGGCAAAACTCAAATGTCTCACTGAACAACATCTCACTTAGAAACATAATTTTTGAGCTCAAGGTCATGAGTTGAGATCTACCTGTACTTATTTTTATTACATTACTCTTTCACTGTAGAAAATCCTTGCTATTGGAACTTGTTTGTATGGAGATTCTACATAATTGCCCTCTAAACTCTGCACGGACTTAAAGATGTGGGAGACATCTGGACAGTTGTGATAGATTTTAGATGCAAGTGTAGGTTGCTATATGCATTAACTTTAAATGCATATTTAAAATTCTGATGTATAGTTTATACGTATATAAATAAATGAGCACACTATTTGAACATAGTTGTCCTTGCAAGATTTATGAACAGAAAAATAATAGATGTTCACTTACCAGGGTTTGAGATATGTTATAACAAGACTGGGATGGAAATTATCTATCCTACCCCAAAGAGAGTAGCTTCTAACCACTATTATGTTGAGTGAACAGGAGAAAGAGGCACAAGAATTTGAACACTGATTGCAGTAGAGATTGAACCTCATCTGAAGTACAGGTAGTTCCTGTTTAGCAAACACAATTGGGACCCACAACTCAGTTAAGTGAAACTGTGACTGCTATAAATTCATTTCAGGTTTTCTTTGCTTTACAGACCTGCAGAGGTCATAAATGAAATTTATCGGTCATAAAGTTATTTTTCATCATCAAGTATGTGATCATTAAACAAGGCAATCACTAAACAAGTGTAGAGTCACTGGAAATTATTTTAAGGACTTTTTGGTAAATGTCAGACTTCCAGGTAGATTAGACAGGAAACACAACCAGATGAGATAATTCCACTTTGTTATATGATTACATTAACAGAATCTTGGTGCACTCAACTTTTGGGGTCGCATGCAGCCTTGAGGGCCTAGTGTAGTGACTACCACTAAATGATTACCTGGGTTTCTTTAAATAATTACCTATGATCTATGAAGAACTGGACAGGGTGCTCTCTACAATTACCCTATGCCCCTGCCATGTGTGGCCCCTTCAGGTACCCTAGGGGAAGGGGGAGTTGATGTGGTACTGGATGACTTGTGTTGGCATCCAGATGGGGTAAGTGCATTAATCTCCATCCTTTTAAACCTCTCGGCCATTTCTGATACCACTGATCGTGCTATCCTTCTGCACCGTAGAATGGTGATTCTGTTCCTTCAATCTATGATTTAGTTGGGGGATGGGGAAGAGATTGACTCAGTGGCTGTTCCTTTTTGGGGGTGCCACAGGGATTAGTGCTCTCGCTGTTGTTTAACATCTACATGAAATCACAGGGAAAAATTGAATAGTTGGGCCTGCCAATGATAAACGACTATACAATGCTACTCAAGGTGTGACTGGTGATATTGCTGAAGTCCTGATCAGATGCCAGAAGACACTGAAGATCTGGAAAGAACAAGCTAAAATGGACTCCCAAAAACAGTGATTTGTTCATCAAGGCTCTCTGTCTACTCCAGTGGGTGTCTTGGTGGGGAAGTACTTCCCCTGAAGGGGCAGGTTCATGTCTTGGTATGTCCCCCTCAACTTGCAGCTCCTGGTAGAAGAACAGGCAGAGCCCTTGGGTAGGGATGCTTTGCTTTGCTTTGATTGGTGTGCTGGTGGCTTCACATTGAATTGTTTGAAATTAAATACCTATTAAGAAACATTATCTTCCCCCATCTGTGTATAACAGTGGCCAAAAACACATTCTAATGAGCATTATTAGAACAAATCCCTGGAAGCATGCTGCCCTAATTCAGATAGGAGTTAATGTATGAGAAATGGTAGGTTGACAGGAAACAAACTTTATTTTCAGGAGTGTTTTTCTTTCCTTTTTTCTTTCAAGGGGGAATTTGACTTTTAGTTTAATTGAGATGATTTGCTTAATAATGATTATATCAGGAATTCAATCAATAGGTTAATGTATGTAAAGTTCTTAGCAGATATGTATTGTTAAATTAGTTACTTTAGGTAAGCTACAGAGATAAAGTAATTTTGAAAATTAACCTTAAAATAATTGATTTTTTTACATTAAGAACCCTTGGTTTTATACTTGAGAAAGTAATCAAAAGCAATTAATAATCTTTTGAAACATTCTATGTACAAATGAGCTGTTATACTTTCTCTGCTGCCAGCTCAGCTGATAACACCATTAAAAATTAACAGTAGTTTAATAATCCCTTCAGTAGGCTTTATTACAGAAAGCCAGGCATTGCCACTTAAATTATACACTGGTCAGGCTGGTTTTCCCAGCCACCGCCTGATCACAATGGCATCAAAAGTCAGTTGGTTTTGTTAACTTCCTCTTTGTACTTCTGCTTCTGTATTTTTTCCTAGACTATCAATTAAAAGCCATTCTCATTTATCCATCTGTACTCATAATGTCTTTCTTAAATATTTAGTCCACTTACAGAAGTCCACAGAAACATCGTTCTTGAAGGTGTTTTTTTTTTTTTAAAGGCTAGTTTGTAGCTACTGATCCCTTCTTTCAATCTATTTTTTTGGCCCTGTCTCCCTTTATTAGGTCTAAATTATTATTTTTTAATGATTCACACCGAGTTCAAAGACTCCTAGCTAATTTCGAATTAGAATTAGAAGAACTTTATTATCATTGTACAACGAAACTGTGGATGCACCCACCCCAGCAACTGTTCGCAATGCAATAAAACCAAAGCACTTAAAAATGAAGATAAGAAAGATAGAGTACCCATGCCTCCATTTGCAATTTGAGAGTACAATATCTACAAATATACACAAAATATACATCCAACACTGACTAATGCTTAGCCGAGTATAATACACAAGAGATGGATTGCACTGTAATACGTTATTATACACCTGAATGGGATATTAAGATTTCACATCTTTTCACATCTTAATGAGGTAGTGACTTCATGTTTATTTGTGGTTCAGGTGGCCCAGGGAAAGAAACTATTTGTTAGTCTAGTGGTGTGGGATTTTATTGACCTAAAACGCCGTCCAGATGGCAGCAGGTCAAAAAGATAATTGCCAGGGTGTGAGGGGTCTTCTATAATGGCCTTGATTCTGCTTTGGCAGCGGGACCTGGCTAAGTCTTCCAGGGAGGGCAGAGGGCAACCAATGATCTTTTGAGCTGTGTTTATCACCCTCTATACAGTTTTCCTGTCCTCAACTGTGGAGCCTTCATACCACATACCCAGACAATATGTCAGAGTGCTCTCCACAGAGGCTTTATAGAAAGCCGGCAACAGCTTCTTATCCAGATTGTTCTTCCTGAGAACCCGCAGGAAGTACAGCCGCTGCTGAGCCTTCTTCACTATGGCCTTGGTGTTAGGGGACCAGGAGATATCAGGTGAAATATGGATGCCAAGGAATCTGATCGTAGGGACAGTTTCCGCTCATTCTCCGTTGATGATGACTGGGGCGTGGTCCTGTCCATGTCTCCTGAAGTCCATAATCAGTTCTTTGGTTTTATGGACATTCAGTGACAGATTGTTCTGTGAACACCAGATAGACAGGTTCTCTACTTCTGCCCTATATGCTGTCTCATCCTCTCAGGAGATGAGACCAATCACGGTCGTGTTGTCCACAAACTTTATGATGGTGTTGTCCACAAACTTTATGATGGTGTTTGTTGCGTGGCTTGGTGAGCAGTCGGGAAGGTGTACAAGGCATATAGCAGAGGGCTCAAGACACAACCCTGGGGGGAACCAGTACTGAGTGTAATAGTAGAAGAAAGGTGGGGGCCAAGTCTAACAGACTGTGGTCTGTTTGTCAAAAAGTTCTTAATCCAGGAGCGCGTGGGGGTGGGGACCTGCAGATTATACAGTTTGGTTACTAGTATATCTGGGGTGATAGTGTTAAACGCAGAGCTGTAGTCCACAAACAGCATCCTCACATAGCTCTCTTTGTTCTCCAGATGACTCTGTGCTTAGAAAGGAGGATGCAAGAGTCTCCCAGGCGAGCGAGGAAAGTTTTTTCCTATTAATTCCTTGGCCGTGTTTGTTTTTCCTTTCTCTCCTCGCTGCCTTTCCATCTGCCAGTTTACAGCCCGCTTATTTGGATCCGACAGAGCGCACTGAGCCACACGACTTCCACGCCAGTCCCAAGGCGGGTTCTCTCCCCCCCACCCCAGTTCACGGGCGGAGGGAGTTTGTGTGTGTGTGTGTGTGTGTGTGCTTAGGGAGTGTATCTGTGTGGAAAGGCCGGAGAAAGTCGGCGCTCCTCGGACGCCTGACTTAGTCAGCTGCTCCCGCTATCTCCCCCTTCCACGCGTCCTGTTGACTTAAGTTGGCGGAGGAGCCTCAGCTGAGGTTTCGCTTGCCCTGTAGACTTTTTTTTTTTCCCTCCTCCCTTCACATGACCGGCAGCTGGGCTCCCTCAAGCAGAAGGCGGCGCTGGAGGGGAGAAGAGTAGGTCGAGCTGGGCGGGACAGAGCCGAGGAGAAGTGACGCCCGTGAAGGCAGAAGGCGTACGCAGGGGCGCAGTATAAGACGCGGGGGAGCGGCACGTTGCTTTTAACTACTCCGTCCTTAGCTTGTCGGTGCGGGCTTCTTATTTTATTTTTTTCCCCTTGACTAAAGAGAAGGAAGGTAAGCCAAAGGATAAGAAGGGGGAGAGAGGGAAGAGGGAGGGGGAGACGGGTTGAATAGCAGCCTCGGAGAAGAAAAAGCGGGCGAGAAAGAAGGGAGGAGGAAATGCAGTCGGGGTGGGGGGGCCCTCTAGTTGCCTTGGACAACTACTTGGGAGCTTTCTTCCACCCCCCACATCCCACTCTGCCCAAATCCTCCCTCCCTCCGGCCCCCCTGCCCCCCTTTTCGAGGCTCCGGGTTGTGAAATCTGGTGCTGCTTAACAAGAGGCGGCAGGGAGGAGCGGGAGGGGACCCGACGCCTTTAGGAGCGGGCGTAGTTCTAAGTCGGCGAGGCAAGGCGCACTGCCACGCTGCTCAGGGATCCTCTTTTCCCTCCTCCTCTCTTACCCCTCCCTCCCCCCGCCCCAATACGCACACAAAACATTTCCAGGGGGTTGCTGGTGTGTGTGTGTGTGGGGGGGGAAAGGACCGGCTTTGGGAGTCGGCCCTTTCGGGGGCTTACGTCAGGGAGCAAGGTGGGGCGTGAGGACGGGAAGTTTGGGTGTTGTCCCGGATTGGGAACTTCTTGGCCGGGAGCGCGTCCTGTTTTTAGCCCGCTCTCTCTTTCGGTTGAATAACCTGATACCGTCGAGTTATTAGTAATTAGCGAAGGATTAGTAAAGCTGACCACGATTCCTGGAACTGCAGGTCTCTGTGCCTGCCTCCTTTACGGGAAACTTTCCCAAGCTTCCCTTTTACTTTTTTTTTTTTAACAACCTCCATTTTATTAATAAAGACGTGTTTCTTGTTCTTGTAATAATTTTCTCCTTCCCCTCTCGTTCTTTTTTTTTTTCTTCAGAAAAATAAAACGCAAGATGGGAGTGGAAGGTGGGATGAAATGTATTAAATACCTGGTGTTTTTCTTCAACTTTATATTCTGGGTAAGTTAATTGGGGGGGAGCTGACTGGTCTTAAAGAGTGAAGATTATTTACTATGGATTACTTGTTTGGCCCCTTCCCCAGATAAGCTTTCTGGGGTATGTTTACTTGGAATATGTTTGGCTTCTGTTTATACAGTTCATCCCTGGAGAAGCTTTATATATAGCCATCCGGAGGCTAGTTTAAGCTCCCATCTGCTACTACATGTTCCTGAAGCCATGGCCACACGTTTTGTTGTCTTTTAACAGGTTTTAAAAAACATTAGTAGAAGAACTCCAGATTTACAGTTTTATCCTGCTGACCTGGTCATTGTTTGGATTTGTACTATATTTCTACAGAAGTCAACATCTGAGGCACTTCTAGTTGTATACCTGAAACCTATTAAATCAGTAATTTTCCTGGTAACTCAGACTGCTAGGTTTGGAAGTAATACCAATACTAATTAGTAATACTAACGCCTTTCCAAGAACAGTATCATTTTCAATACAAAAGCCCCAAATGTAAAATCCTGGATTGAACCCCCCCCCCCCCCACTGAATTAGAGTATAATTCCATGACACCAAATAATTCACAAATAGAATAAATTTACCAGTGCAAATTTAAACTTCATTTTAAAAGTATTCCTTAAATAGCTGAAATCTTCTAAGATCACCAAATCTTATGAGTTTCAACTGTATTTGTATAGATTAATTTTGAAGTCCCGGGATAATATCTGAAAAAGGGTTGGTTGTGCCTTGGTGCCTATAGGATTTGCATTGCTCACCTAGACTTATGCGGTAATCCTCCAAAGATTTTAGTGAAAAGGTTGGAAACCACTGTTGTAAGAAAATGGTTGGTTTTGTACAATATTACTGTGTCATGGCTTGTTCAATCATTGTGTTGAGTTAAGCCACTATTCACTCAACAATTGTAAAACAAGCTTAACCAAAACAATTTGATTTACATGGCCTGCTAACCAAGCCAAACCAACCACATTATTGCTATTACTACAATGGGTGAATATAATTAATATGCTAGAAGGAAGATGTGCTTCTCTACCACTCCATATAGGAGTGGTTTCGGATGCTAAACTACTGACTTGGTATAAAACTGGCCAATGCACAAATAACTCTCCATAAAAAACATGAAGAATTGCTGACATAGAAAGTTCAACGCACAAATAGCTGAACATTTTGAGACTTTGGTATCAGTTTGGCCAATGGAATTGCCAGACATCAGGGTTCCAGAACTTGGTGGTTTCCTGTTAGACTAGAAACTGCATATTATCTGTTCGATGACTGATGTGGCAAAAATTGTTGCTTTTACCATAGCAGCTGTTGTAACAAAGCCAGTGGTTGCTGCTGACCTGCTTGCAGCGCAGGGCCAGTTCCTGGTGTTGGCAAACAAGATTCTGTGGAATGTAGTGAGACTTTTAAAGCACTTTTACTGATCTGGATTACATATCCTAATTCTGTAGAAATAACATGACTTGCTACATTGCCCAACCACAGAAAAAAAATAGCTTTCTACATCCCTTTGCAATACCTACTGTGACACATTCTGGGTGGTACAGACTAGACAGTTTTAAAAGCTGGCTATTCATTTTGTTGCAAATGTAGAATGGGACATTTGTTCACATGAAATGGACTTGCCCTAGTATTCCCCTGTCGTGTCTTTACTGTCTCCTTAAACACATTCAGGATTTTCTGGGGAGGGGGAGGCGGTGACATCATTTGAGCTCCAAAAAAGGACCATTTTTTTTAAAGGAACTGCTGACAGGTACATGAGTGTGCCCATATAAGATCTGAAGTAGCTTCCTAACTTTGGCTCTAAATACCCCAGTTCCCATTTTTTTATTATGTTTTTAATATATTTTTATATTTTGTACTTTTTTCTTTATATGAAAGAAACTCTGCAAAACACAGTTTTTTTTCATTCAGTACCCTTTAATAACTAGCTACATCTAGAGTTGATGGAGTTATACCAAATTGTGGGTGAACCGACAGAGTAGTACGAAAAGAATGCATACGTGGAGACAAAGTTTGGTGTGGGCTTTGTTTATAAGGGGCAGGTGGCAGTAAAGGATGCTACTTAATGGGAAACCTGGGATCAGTTGGGGTTTTGTAATTAGAAAAGGATATTGGTTTTTCCCAGCAGCACTTGGGAATGCTTTATGTCAATACAGTTGGATTAAATTTGTTAAATTGCAAGAGTTAATATATAAGGAAGGTATTGAGTGCTTCTTCCAGCTCTTCAATATCCTTGTAGAACTTGGAATTTCCTTTTGAAGAAACAGGAGTTTTTTATTGGACCAAATAGATAATAGGAACTTGATAATAGGAACTTGAACTATTGACCTTTCTTAGTACTGTATGTTTATTTTGCCAGTCGCAAGAAGGGTGAATTAGCCATATGTTTGTTCTGTTTCTCTCAGTGCAGTCAAAATGATAAATACAACTGGGTGAGGAGCACTCTTGTGGTATGGAACAGAAAAGAGAGTTAAATGTGAAATCTTGCTTTTAAAAAAGGCTCCTATCTCTAATTCTAGACTCTGAAATAATTTGTAGTATTACGTGCCATAATATAAGCACCTACATTTCAGTAATGAGATGCATCTTTATAATCTGATTTTGTGTACATGTTTTTAATTGTACTTGAACAGTGAAATTATATATGCAAATATATTTTGGTGGTAAGATGGCATTTGTTCTTGGATTCAAATACTTATTTACCTGCTTTTGGAGAAATGTATAACACAATTTTTCTCTTGGAAAATTATCAAGATATTAAATAATGTGAGAGTACTCTTTTTGCACAACCCTGCACAAATACTTGCTAGGTTTCTACTTTTTAAGTTTTATAGAGGAGTGGTTGATAGTTGTTGGGATTTTACTTTCCAGAGATTTAAAAAAAAGACTTTTTTTGTGTAGGCTTTGAAATTTAGATACTAGTTTATTTCCTGTTGTTAGGCCCCAT